AATTAAGTTACAATTTAAGTAAAAACTTTCTAATAATTCTAATTTGTCCGTTACTCTTATACTCCCCGACAACGGTGCAAAAAACCAAAAGACTTGACCGACTTTTTGTAAATTGACAAATATAAGAATTTGATGGCGCTATTAGAAGATTTAAATTCCAGCAACAACACCCAAAAACTTGACTGCGACTTTATATATGTGTTTGATTTGATAAAGATGTGTAAATATAATATTCAATAATGTTAAAGTCGAATTTGTCAACGCAAGCATACGTATCACTCAAGTAATATAGGGCTCTAATGAAGTCCTAGATATCGATCCCACAGGGAGAAGTTAGAACTACGGACTAAGATTTTATAAAAAGCAATACTTCAATTACAACAACGAAGTTCAATTTGCTTATCTGTACTAATAAATTGAAATAAATACGTAATTTTAATAACTCTTAAACAACTAATTATACTAATGAGATTTTTAATGTGATATTGAATATATAAGAAAGCATCCTTCTCTTTGTCAAGAAATTATAGTGAATGGATAAAGTGAATCAATTCAGTTTGTATTGTGCCAAATAGGAGCACACCTATTCTTTACCCTTTGGTCCAGGCATAAAGAACAATGAATAATCCTACGCTTGTTTATTGATTCTGCAGCTAGGTTGGGAGGATACCGGCTCTCAGTTCGGAGTTCCCACGTTCCCTTCGCCTGAGGACTAACATCTACACTACAGCACCCAAACGATAGGACTAAATTGGGGATTTTAGTCTGTCACTCTAAAATCTCCAATTCTATGCCTGTTAAAATCAATTGACCAGATTGAAAGTAAATTAAGATCGAAGTGAAAAGATCATCACAATTTCTTAAGCATTTTCATGGCTTTACCAATTCAAATCATCATTTCACAAATCTCGAGATAAGGATAAAGACAGAGAAAACTACTCAGATCTCATGGGGAAAATGCAACAAAACTCAGAATTCATATATAAATTCAAAGTCATACAAACTACAACTAATAAATAAATTTATCTGTAATTTCTCCCCAAGAAAACTCCTCGAAGTTCCTCTGAATCTCTTCTTTTCTTTACAGCACACAAAACTCCTCTTCGAAATAGCAAGGAGGAAGAAATCTCTTACTTTCTCTCTACTCTTACAATCTCTGGAAGAATTCCTCACAATTTTCACACTCTAATGGAACCTTTCTAACCTTCAGGAACTCTAGAGCTCTCTCCACCTCCTCTAGACTCTCCTATTTTCGGACAAAATCTTCCCTTTAATGATGTGGATGAGTTTTCCCAAGAGTTGCTTAAGCACCGCTCCAAAATCTGGTCTTATCCAATGCACAAGTATACATAACCGTCGATCTCTCCGGCAGGCTTCTGGAGAATTTTGTCCTGTAGCCTTGGGAAAAGCTTGCGTCGGCAGCGTCGATGGCGCCGTTGGTGCCCTAGTTCAAATCTCCACATTTTGGTCATTTTCGCTCCAAATTCGCTACATTTTGCATCTTTTTGCTCCATTGACCATAATTTATCATTCCTGCAACAAAACATCAAAAATACCTTTCTTTAAAGTGCAATATCATCAAAAATAGTATAAAATAGGTATGAAAATCTCAACATATTTTTCTTTGGTCATAACTCTTCTCTCTTTGGCCATGGAGGGGCTGATTAAATAGAGGAGTTCGGGCTGGTCACCAGGACTAATTGATGGGTGCAAAATGGTGCTTAGGTGGAGGGCTGAGGAGCTCTAAGGAGCTATTAGGATGAGTTGGCCTCTAGAGTTGAAATTGAGTTTGATTTAGGGGTGCTGGCTGTCGGTTTTAGAGTTTTCTAGCCACTAGGTCTGTTGACAGGGCCAGGGGTGGTGGCCAAGTGGTCAGGTGAGCCAGGCAGAGGGTTAATTATGGTTAACCCTTAATGACAAGTGCTGATGGGGGAGATATTTTGGTTAAGGCCCAAAAATGAGATATGATCACATAAATTAGGGGACCCTTGGTCCATAGCTCACTTGAGTGGTTTAAGTAGATTTAGCCTGGTCAATTGAGTGTGTTTAGTGGTTGTGGTGACATTAATTTGGTGACTTTAGCATGACTACGTCAATTTTGGTGCATGGGTTAAATTTGGGTCAAAATGACTAAAATTTGAGTTTGGGTTAGGCTATCTATGATGTTAAGCTTAATTGTATATTTAATTGTCATATTGATTTTAGAAAAGATTTGAAGTGATTATGAGCTGATTTGGAGGTTCAATTTGAAGGAATTTGGGCATTTGATCAATTTGGAGATGTCTGGTTAAACTTGGGTTTAGGTTAGGCTTGAGTTGGGCTAAGTCCAAATTAAGGGTTCAAAATGGTCTAGGGGGATGTTATGAAGAGTTCTCAACATTAATTGGGTGTCAGTTTTAGGTATTGGGCATTCAATTTGGTGACATTTGGAGAAATAACTAAATTGGGAAATTTAGGGATTTTGAATGTGGGTTGAAATTGAGGTTTGACCAAGGCCAATTGAAGATCCAATTTGATGTGTAGAATTTTTAGAAAGAATTTAGGATTCAAATTGGAGCAATTGAGGGGATCATATGGTTCAATTAGGTAAGATTAAGTCATAGGGCCAAAATTGGGGATTTTGCTTTGGATCAAAATTGAGCTCAATGCATGGGTCAATTAGGCTTGGATTTGGTTTGGATTGATCATATGAAATATTAATTTGAGTTTAAGATTGAAATTGATGGGAATTAGGGCCAAATTGAAGGACATTTGAGGTGAATTTGAGGAAATTGGATTTGAGGTGAATTTGAGAGGTGAATTTGAGGAAATTGGGTCTTTAAAAGCAATTTGGGGGTTTTGGTCAAAATGGTAAAATTGGCCAAATTGGGTTCAATTGAAAGGTCCAAATTGGTTTTGAAGATATTTGAAGCGATTTTGGATGTTTTGTGAAAGTTTGGGGAGCCAAGGGTATTTTTGTAAGTTTGGCAAATTTGATGGTATTTTGGTAATTTATGCAATTTTGGTAATTTCAAATGGTTTGAAATGATTTTTGAACAAATTTGGGTATCTTGAGTGAAATTGAGAATTTTGGTCAAATTTAGGGTTTCAAGGGTATTTAGGTAGTTTGGGTGGATTTGGGGCAAGAGGTCAAGTTGGATTTTTTTGGTAGAATTGGGGTGCCAACCACTATGTATGAACCATGGACCAATGAAATCCACATTTGGTTCCTCTATGTATTGGTCTTAGCTAAACCCTAGCCTAGGGCTAGTGAGTTTAGGGGAGCATCTATATGAGTCTCCCAAAAGATCAAAGGATCAAAGTCAACAATTAAGGTTTAAGGCTGTAAGTGAATATAGAAGGTAGTGAGTGTAAGTGAGTAAACTAGCTCCAGACCAACACCTAGGGTCAGTCATAAGGTCAAGCAATCCTATGGGGACTCTCCTTGAGATTCTCCATACTGACCCCCACCTATTAAGTGCTAAAGGTTAGGATCAATATATGGAACTTCAAGTTGAGGAAGGAAGAGTTTATTCTAATTAATGGTGAGGGTTCATTTTCTAATTTTCTAGGAATAGTCAACATGAAAGTCCTATGACTTGACCTTAGACTACCAAAGAAGCAACACTAAACCTCAACCAAAAGTGAGATCAACAAAATATTTATAACACTTGGGTGATCTTTTAATATTTTTTTCATCAGAAAAGTTTATCGGAGCTCAATATCTTATCCTTTTGTATTTTCCTCTTGTGCTTCTTTTACTGGTGAGTGGTTCTTCATTTTATTTTGGTTTTTATTTTTTTGTTGTTGTGATCTTGATTTTGTTTGGTATTGTTTATTGATGTCTATTTATTTTGATCTACTTTTGCTTCAACTTCCTTGAATTTGGTTTGGTTGTTGTTTTCTTTTAGCACACCTCATCTTAGTTGTTATAACATCTAACATGGAAGCTTTAGGAATCCCTTTCGGTGTTGTTTGGTGAAGTTAGATTTCACAGATCTATCTTTTTTTTGCTGTGGAGCTGTATTGAGCTGTTTTCTAGTGTGAATTATGGTGTTGATTTTGGATTTGAGTTGGTGTCGATCGATATTGACTGCCTGTACTCGAATTGGAGACTTTTGAATATAAATATGCTATCAGATCAACTATATGATATCTCTCTACTCATTCTACTCAATGGAATTGTTTTGGTGTCGTTGTTCTTTTGAATGTGCTATTATGTCTCTCTTTAGGGTTTTGGATTCTCTGATTTACTGATTTATTGCATTTGCTTTTGGATTTGTGACTTCATATTTCATTTTTCTTAGTCACTTTTATTTGCTTTTGTATCTGGTTGCTTTGTAGGGTTTGTCGTTTTACTTTTTTGTGTGGAGATTATTTTTATGAGTTATCGATTGTATTTTTTTTTGGTAAAAAAAAAAAGAAAAGAGAGAAAAAAAGAGTGCTTGATTTAGGTTTTACATAGATAAGAGCCAATTCTTATATATTTAAATATCTCATCAAAAAATTATTTTTACATTTATACCACTTAATTATTTGTATCACATAAGTTTAATTACATATATGCAAATTATTACATCCGGGCTCCGGACGTAGAGACATGTCCGGAGTCCAATGAATCACCTCCATGTGGAGCTGACAAAAAAAAACTCGTTTTCTTGTGATCCGGCCCGGTAACACTGGAGAATGTTCATCCCGTGTTATTCCACGTTATTCACGTGTTATTGTGATAGTATTAATGTGTTATTGTGTTATTATAACACCGAAAATATTCTTAGAACACAATAATATATGAATACTACCACAATAACAACTGAATAATGCAGAATAATATAGGGAAATATTCTCTTATGCTACAACAAATTTTTTTTTTAATTTTTCTGTCGCAATCATCTGACATGATTTTGTTAGATTCTGGACATATCTGTACGTGCGCGAAGTGCGGACGGAATATTTGTTCTGAGCAGGGTATAAAATTTTATTTGGAGATTTTAGGTTCAGGCCGGATTTGACAGAAACACGCGTTGAGCAAGTCGGGTCAGATCGGCCCAGCCAAATTTCCCGCCCATTCTTAGCGGGGTATGTAATTGTGGAGAAGGGAAGGAAGGAAAAGGTATCGCAGCATCGATGTTTATCGCACTCAATACCTCTCTCACCAGCGACGCAAACGTTGAAGACCACAATGGCAGGCATCTTCGATTCTTCCAGCTCTGCTCTTTAAATCCGCCTTCCCACCAGCAATGTTCTAGGGTTTCGTCGATTTCGGAGAGGTGAAGAAATAGGGTCGTAGGTTTTTAATTGTCGTCACCATGGGACAAACTCTCTGCGTTCTACGGGATAAAGCTCAGGGTAAACTCCTCGCTTTCCCTTCTGATTTATCTAACTGCTAGGATTGATAGTTGTGATTATTCCGTTTGAAGCTCAAACGTGCTCAGTGATCGTTGGAGCTCGTATAGATTCGAGATTTAAATCAATTTTTTCTATTAGATTGGAGGATTACAACAACAACAACAACAAAGCCTTAATCCCACTACGTGGGGTCGGCTACATGAATCCTTTTTCTCCATTGCGTCCTATTTAGTGACATATTTTCATTAAGTTCTAGTAAATTAAGATCATTTTTAATACAATAAGCCCAAGTCTTCCTAGGTCTACCTCTGCCTTTCTTAACACAAGTCGAATTTAAAACATCTACTCTCCTAATCGGATCATCTAATGGTTGACGTTTAATATGACCAAACCATCTAAGACGACTTTCTCTAATTTTGTCTGTCACAGGAGCTACACCAACCCTATCACGAATATATTCATTCCGCATTTTGTCTCTAAGTGTAAAGCCACTCATCCACCTAATCATTCTCATCTCGGCAACACTTAACTTATTATTATGCTTCTCTTTTAAAGGCCAACATTCAACGCCATAGAGCATTGCAGGTCTCACCACCGTCTTATAAAATTTTCCTTTCAGTCTTAGCGGTACTTTTCTATCACACAAAAGGCCCGAAGCATTCCTCCACTTCAACCAACCAACTTGAATTCTACTATTAACATCCCCATCTATATCACCATCGCTTTGGACAACGGACCCAAGATATCTAAATCGTTCACACCTTTTAATAATTTGATCAAACCAACTTATTAAACCAAATAACAATGAAAAAATAAATATTATTACCAACTTCCAATAGAAAATTACAACAAACAAACATAAATCTGAAATTGCAACAAACAACAACACAAATTCACCCTAGGATTAGATCCAGAGGTGGTAGTGGTCAGCAAAGTGAATTGGTAGGGACAGCAGGCTGCTGAAAGAGCAGAAAAACAGCAAGCTTGTTGTTTTCTAGATGATGGCAGCGAAGGAAAGGGGGTGGCAAAGGTAGGGATGGCTGGAACAGCAG